GAATTTGGACATTTTTCTTGCTGCATTTTTCAGGGTTTGGAAAATTGCTCAATTAAAGATATTTCCTTAACGTTCTTGTCATAGATTTCTGTACTGTGCTGCTTAAAAATCAGAGCCAGACATAAGCATGCGACTAAACCACGATAGAAAACACCAACAAACAAGTTCACATTAATAATCAGACTGCTTCACAAAACTTCTAAAACCGTAAAATGTAGCCATGAACAGAATGCCGTAAAATATGAATTAAATTGCTATCAAATTCAACTTTAAATGAACTTAGTTATCTCTGGATACTGGAAGTAAAATCTATTCATTCATCCCTCCATTTTCTAAAACTGCTTTATCGTGTTCAGGACTGGAGGCTGTACAAATTTGGCCCGAGCCGTGGACACTGTGGACGTGTCTCTACTCACAGGACCAACACTGACAACCACATGCTTACATTTATAAAGTTGAGATTTTGAATTTCCTATTACCTTTACATGCCTGATTTAGGAGTGTATGAAGAAACCAGAGGACTCAGAGAAAACACAGGGAGAACTTGCAGTCTCCACACATGACCACAATCCTTTTTTGCTGTGAGGTGATAGAGCCACTCATCATACAAGAACTTAGTCCCAAATAAATAAGAATAAAGATAAATATCAAGRTATAATAAATTATATGAAGGTAAATGCTTAGATAATTAAATGTGCTCATTAGAGAACGCAGTACGTGTTCAGTACATCAATTACTATTACCTGCTAACASGTTCAGTCTTTTATTTGTGACATTGTAGATTAAATTAGATTTTTATTTAATGATAAAACAAATGGCAGCACGGTGGCTCAAGTGGTAGAGCTGATGCCTCTCAGCAAGAAGGTTGCCACATCGAGCCTCGGCCGGGGACCCTTCTGGGTAGAGTTTAACTGTTCTTTCCGTGCATGCGTGGGTTTTCTTTCACCTGTTTCATCCCCACAGACCAAAGACATGACTGTTAGGCTGATTGGTAACTCTAAATTGTCTCTAGGTGTGAGTCAAAGAGACAATGGTTATTTGTCTCTACTGTATGTGGCCCTGTGATAGACTTTGACCTGTCCAGGGTGTACCCCGCCCCACAGCGACTGCTGAAAGGAAGAAGCGGGTTAAGATAATGAATGGATTGAATAAAATAAATGTGGGCGACAGATTTCTTACATTTAATTCAAATACAAGACAATTTAAAATTTATGAAAAACTATTTCCTTTCAAGTGATGCAAGTTTGACATTTTAAAGTAAAGGAACATTATGTGAAATGTTWTTCCATGCCTTTGTTTGCATAGTATGATTGATTTATAACAGTGGTCCGACTCCACAGACGCCTCAGTGTCAATATGAGGCAGAACTTTGGGCACAGATGTCTTATTTTGCTGCTGGTGCGGAAACAGTGGCACCGCCATTAATACATAGGTTTCAACTCCTGTAGATAAGAACAAAAGTGCAAAATTACAACGGCAGGCGTCGTTTGAATTACATTGGTTTTATTTATTTTTTAACTGATTTCTACTGGATTTATTTTAAAGAATTTCTTATCAAAAAAGTTCTCAAAATAATAACCTTTAAACAGTTTCAGTCAAACTGCAAATGTGATGTTTTGTAAACATGTTTTCATCAACTGGATTAAGAAGCTCGTGACTTCTGTTAATGAAAAGTTTTTTGCAGCATGCAAAATTAATATGTAAGGATGTCTTTGCCTTCCTTGAGCTTGAACACGTGATGAATGGAAATGTGAAAACTGCCACTCTTCAGGCTGACTTAAAACCCCTCAGCATCATTGCCGTATACAGCTAATAAGTCACAAACTACTGATGATTATTTGACAGAAAATCACTTCAAAAATCAGCAGTCTGTATCTTTAATTATTTGCAAAAAGAAAAAAAATAATTTAGTTTGTGATTAATATGAACTCTGATTTGTGTAAAATGTGCTGCTGAAATTTATTTTAGTTTTTGGCACCTGAGTATGTATAAGTTAAACTTTCTAAGATTAAATTTTAACACCAAAGGATTTTCAAAYTATTTTGCTTTTTAAAAATGTTCATTTTAAACAGCATCCTGATGTTTTCGCAACACATTTGAATGATGAAAGTTTTCATTGTTTCTAAGCAAACTGAGCATGTGTGCTGCTTAGAGCATCTTAAACTACTGACAATTACATAAACTGGAGTTTGGAATTACATCTTTTATTCTCCATTTATACATTTATTGATAAAGCACTTTGATATCTGTGTGAAGATTTTATTTCAAAAGAACAAAAGGCGTTTTTTACARTCAGAGCACACCATCTTCCTGCCACCCAATTACAGCCAGAGATTAAGTTTGAAACATAAGCCTTTGATCTCAGTAAGTGATTAACACAGCCTGAGTTTAGTTGTCCAAATCACCGGCAGATGTTCTGCTAAGCTGCACGGTCTCAGCAGGCTGTGTGATGGGATCTTTGGAGCACTGCAGGGAGGACTTTAGGGGGCTTCAGACTAATCAGAGCCTCAGAGTGGACAGCCAGATCCAGTTGCAGCCTGTGCTGAGTACCTTCTAATTCTGTTTTTATTCATTTGTTTAAATCATTCTCTAATATTTATTCAGCCGCTCACGGCTCAGTGACAGAAAGTTGTAATTAAATTGAGTTTTTTTTTTCTGAACTGCGTTTTGCAGCAAGCCTTGGATTCCAACCTCGGTAATCTAATCAAGAGGACCAGTGAGTTGGAAAGCTTGATGGGGAAGCTTATCCAAACCTGCCAAAACGTGGAGGTGAGGCTGTTTATCTGTCTGCTTTCAGGTGGAGGCTTTTGAAGCATTTCCGTAGCAACAAGAAGTCATTAAATAATTAACACCATGTTTAATTATTAAATCTGAAGGAAATATTTTATTCTTTCAGCAAAATTGATCAWCTGTTAACAATATTCTAAATAGGGCTGTGAATTTGATGTTTTTAGAACATYATAAATCTACAAAGATGACATTTATTTGCCTACAAAAATATGACATATTGTGTTTTGCTAGTGATTTATCTTTGCTGTGTAGCTTTGAAGAAGGGTTCTGTGGAAAAGTTGTGAACAATTAATGTCTTACCTGTTGTRGATAATTCTTTAGATGTGAGCCAATTGATAAACTAATGACTTTAGCCGGACACAGAAAAAAAGATGGCAGATGCTGCCTTAAAACAAGTAAAATTTCAAAGTAGTTTATGTAAATGCTCTTTTATTTTTCTATTAGACTGTAGTAGACTACAGAAATTCACCTTTAAAAATTCACCTGAAAATATTCAACTACTAAAATTCAGCTGCAGAAATTGGCCGTAAAAATGTGTTGCCCTCCTGGTGACCCAAGCCAAAGCAATCAGCATTAGGTCGAGTCGAGGGGATTTCAGCCAATCACATTACGCTCATTTGATCATGTGACACACCAATGTGTTGSGCAGAGGTCTGCATACATATAATAAATGCTTTTATGATTTCTGAGGAGGTCCGCATATTATCTGATAATTTTTTTTAACAAAATTATAAAAACTATATAAAAAATGTCCTTTTCACTTATTGTTGTGCACTAAACAAAATACAAAGTACTGATYGGTCACTTTTGATTTAGTCAGTTATTTAGACAAGTGCCATAATCCGTAAGTATTTCCACCAACTCAAACAACCACAAACAAGGACTTTTAAAGAACCTCAGTATACTTTAGTTAAATGTTTATATAAAGTACATGAAATAATTTAATTAACTTACAGACTGTGCACTGCCTCAAGAAAGAGCTACAAACAATTTACAAAACAGCATCGCTAAACAGTGACTTCTAGTTTTCAATTATTTCAAAACAAAACATTGCATACTACATACAGCAAACTAGTAAATACTGTGGACTTTAAAAAAAAGTGAGACACATAATACTTTAAGGTCACATTTATAATGCAAAGCCTTAACTATTCTRTATTCACTGTTGAACTAAACCTAAAATGTTAACCATGACCATGAGGCATTCTGYTCCTCCTCTCACTATTACAACACTGCTAAGTAGACAACACAGCACTATAGTAWAACACTATGCAGTATTTATAAGCAATAAGCATTTTAACATGTCCTCTTATAATCCTTAAAAAGTACCACACGAGTAACCTGTAGTAACCTGCTAGTTACCACAAAATGTAAAAGATTTTTACTYACTGTTGCGAGTGACCGCCATCTTGAAAGTGCATGTCAGTGGAGTCGAGTCATGTTGTTCTGACGAGTCCGAGTCAAAATTTAATCCAGAGTGCAGGTTTGATTGTAATGTTTAGCATTATTTAATATAACTTAACAGGACAACCAAATTTCCGTGCAACAACAAACTTCGATGTTGTCTTTTCACAATAAAAGCACAATAACATTTCCATACATTAAAATCTGCTTGACTTGATCTAGTGCTGATTACTATGGCTTGGGTCACTAGGAGGTCAATACATTTTTACAGCAATTTCCTGCAGCTGAATTTTAGTAGTCAAATATTTTCAGGTGAAATTTTAGAGGTGAATTTCTGTAGTTAATTTTTTTTCTGGCAAAATAATTCAGTTGAAATTTGGTAGGTGAAATTTAGAAGGCAAATTTGAAGTAAAAAAAATCACATACATAATTT